TCTATCTATCTATCTATCTATCTATCTATCTATCTATCTATCTATCTATCTATCTCCCTCTTTCTCCCCCTCTCTCCCTCTCTGGAGGGCAGGACTCAACCCTCATTCCCAACTCTTCGCATAGAGTGACCAAAAATTTTGGAAATAATTCGTTATCTTCATCCTTAGCTTTTAATAAAAGTATGCCGAAAAATTACATGGGGGCCACTTCTAAGTGATGACATTGTTAGTGTGCTTGTTACCCTACGTCTATGCTCTCATATTTTAAAAACAGTGAAAGGAATGTGGCCAATAATCTTCGTAAAAATTATTTTTCATAGTTAATGCAGACTAACTTGTGTGCTTACAAGTTATCGCTGTCGTCGTTCGCAACAAATCCCGAGGCACTTCTGTGGTCGTCGGAGCATGTAAAAAGCCTTTAAAAAACCATGCCCTGACGACCAGAGAATTACAGGATTGTCTCTTCCTAAAGAGTTATCTGCAACTTCACCAAAAGTATATATATATGCACACAAAAAAACAACACGCAGTACTGAAGGACCGGAAGCCAGGTTGCGTCCAGCGACAATTCAGACACCACGGGCATTAAAAGTCCCGTCTCCAAAGAGATAGAACATTTATAGGCCACTAGTAACGAAATGGAAAGACAGACTAGTTAATATTAAGTGTAGGAAATCTTATATCAAATTACTTCCCTATTCTATCCCCATGTGATGACACGCGACCGCGATGGCACCATAAAGTCTGACTAAGAGTATAATGAAGGCAAAGAGATGTTAAAAGGTACAAATTGCATAATTAAATTACATAAACAAACGCACACACACACACACACACACACACACACACACACACACACACACACATTCGCGCGCACACACACACACACTCACACTTGCACACACACACGCACACATAGCTAAGTATAACAGTCTTCCACTTAAGCTCGCTCTCATGCGGTGACGAAACAAAAGTGGCATGAGATGGAGACTGGAAGCCTAGCCTTTAGCTCTTAGCCCACTATTGTCTGAGACTAAATTCACTCTCATAAATGTATATGATATGTCTTACTTTCCCATACTTATATTTAGATACAGTTAATTTTCCGATTGCAATAGCTGCATTTGTTAACCCCCATTCCCGGTGACCTGCATCGATTCCCTTCACTGCCCCAAGTAAAACTATTTTCTCATTAATTACAATTGATGTACCTACGTGGACCTGTAAATCTTTTTCAATTTCTCTCCAAAGTGTCTGAACCTTCTTACAATTATAAAAAAATGCTCTATAAAATCAGGCTCCTTACAATATTCGCTGCTTTGAGATTTCTTTAATTTCATTTTTAAGAGTAGTATGTTAGTGGGATAAATAGTATGTAGTACTTTCCATTTAATGTTCTCAAACGTGTTTCCTTAGCGTGATGGACTATTTGCCAATGTTTTCATTAATATCAACACCATATTTTCTTTTCCCAATACCTATGAACAGTGGTGGCTCAATTTAACTTAATGCTAAAAGAAAACGCTTTCTCTCTATAGTACCTACAATTGGGTCCATGAAATAAAAGTTGTCATCCTTGTCATCATTAAAATACACATTCCTCATCGCATTTGATATAATATTGTAGTCTAAAACTCAACGTGGATTGCATCCATATTTTGCTCTAAACTCTTCTAAAGACTGTAATCGTTCATCCAGGGTTATATCTTTTATTGCTAAAATGCCCCTTTGTATACAAGATGGTAAAAAGAGGGTTTGATTTTTATAGGTTATATATTCGTTATTAAAAATAGAGTCGTTTAACGAGAGGACATAGTCTTTGTCTTTATTAGAGTATTCTAACCATTTAATTATCACACTTCTCCAAAACTTACTAGATATAGCGTCGAGCCCTTTAAACGTATTTGCTTTTACCTTGCTTCTAAGAACCTGCAACCCACCAACATCTTTGAGTACAGCGACTGCCAGACTTTTCCATCGTTGCGCTTTTGTATCAAGAAGTACCTCCACCCAGTTCAAGAGAATGGAATCTTGAAAGTTGGTCATGTTAATCATTTTCAGACCTCCGTTTTCAAGCTTATTACTCATAATCTTCCGTTTAACTTTTTCAAAAGCCCTTTTATTGTTAAAACGCTTTTTCCACAGTAATCTTTAAAAAATTCTGCTCACTTTGCTAAGGACACCTTCTGGTAACGATATGCTTTGCATTACAAAAAGAAACTGCGTTATTCCAAAAGTTTTCAGTAGTGCATTTTCCCAAGAATTAATAGATCTCTCCTTGCCCATTTCCCAAAAATTCTGAGGAGGGTATCGATCCTGGGCTTCCAGTTTTCTTCTAGTTCTTCTGCCGGTTTTGTACTGCTAAAATATACTCCAAGAATGTTAATGGTTGGAACAAACTAAATCTGAAATTCGTCTGTAGTTATGGCTTGGCCGTTTGTACATATGGCATAAGATTTATTCAAATTTAAATGCAGATCTGAAATGACCGAAAATTCATTTAGAACGGACATGGCTCTTCTCAAATCATTGGCATTCCTTAGGAATAAGGTTGTGTCATCTGCATGCTGCATACTGACTAATTTTAATAGACTCCAAACCCGGAAAGGTGTTGATACCACTTAGGGGCTGTTCAAATATAATCTTAC